TATACAGGACAACATGGAATGGGACTTGGCCACCATCCAGACCTCAGGTCAAACCCAGGTGTGAGGCTTTCTGAACCTGGGATGTCACTGGCCACACTGTGCTAGTAGGACTTCTCTGTCGGGTCCACATCATCAGCATCCCCTGTGGATTCAACAAAGCCGTGTACCCACAACATCTAGCCCAATGCCTGATACTTGATAGGCATTCRGGAAATCATTGTTCTTATTCCTAGTATCTTTCTTGACACACCATGTCTCCCCAGTCTTCTGTCGAAATCTTGTGCGTGCTTTTTAAATGGCCAGCTGGAAACCCCATCTCCAAGACACCTTGTTTATCAGCCTCAGCCAGAGCACGGGTTTCTTTGAGGCATCCCAAGATGCTAACTTGTGTTCCAGCCTGGATGTCGTTCTCCCTTCTATTCTGCTCAGAATCTCCCCTGCTGCACAGAACCTCTTACCTTTAGGAACCACTTCTTTACCCCCTTTTTTTTTCCAGGGCATTTCCCAGCCCCAGGYGTGGCCCAGAAAGAGAGTTTGAGCCCAACTTGTAGAGTAAATGTGTTTTGAGTTACTGAGTGGAGCTGAGGTCACCTCATCTGCTTTGGGATCCAGGGCTTCAAGCCTTCCCTTGCCAGGCTACTGTGGGTGGCTAATCAGTTGCAGAAGTAGAAATTAAAAAGTGTCTTTTGTGGCTAACTTGGAGATGAAGGCATCTTGGATTTCACAGCTTTGAACCACCAACAGGTTTCTTCAGCCCTTCAGCCCTTGGGAACTGCAGCACCATCAGCCAGCTATAAGAGAGGCTATGGAAATGCAGTCTGGCACAAAGGAACCTTCTGGAAACAGTCTGTATCTTTCTTAATCCGGGTGGTGGGTACATATGTTTGTTAGAACTCATCAACTGTGCTCCAGATCTGAACAGTCACCTTATACAGATTATACCTCCATAAAATTAATTATTTAAAAAGAAAAAGAAAAAAAAGTGCAGTCTAAGCAGATAAACTGGGCACYGGGGCCTGTTCTGGTCTTCCTGTGGTCTTGCCTCTTTAGTGGGAGAAGGGGCACTAAGAAGTGTGGCTAAAGCCAGGAAAGGACAGGACAGCCCCTGTAATCCCTTCGGTCCTGAGCTGGGCCTGGTGCATAAGGTACCTCCCCGTCTTCCCCTGAGACCCCGCCCTGGCCTGCCGCTGAAGACGTCAGAGTCAAGCCTCGAGGGGTTGAAGTGGGGTCTCCTCCCACCAGAGGGGCTGAGCTTTAAATCAGTGTGAAAGCTCTGACTGAGATTGGTGCAGCCATCCGAGAAGCCAATAGGGAGAAAGAGCCGGTTTTCCATCAATATAGGAATGGATGGATAAACGCACGTGGCACAGAGACACCTCGGAATATCATCCCGCCTCAGCAGGGAAGGATAAATATTCATGGATAAACATCATAACAGAAATGACCCGTGTGACCTTAGGCTAAAGTGACATAAGCAGGAAAAATGTTGTCTGATCTCACTGACATGGGGCACGTGGAAAAATCAAATTCATGGAGATGGGAGCAGAGTGGTGGTGGCCAGGGCCTGGGGAGGGAGGGAGGGACAGTCTACTAAGCGAGGACATTCAGCTCCAGAAGATGCAAAGTCTCCAGAAATGGGTAACGGTGATGGTTGCCCGGTATTGAGAACTGTGCCCGGGATTGAGTGCCCCTGACATGAACGTTTAAAATGGCTAGGATGGTGACATTCCCCATATATATATTCCACCCCAGTGAAGATCCACGTCTTGAGCCTGCCTTCCGGCCCCCTGTAAAATTTGGCATCATGTGCCCTGTCGGGCCAAGGATTTAGTGTCTGATCCTTAAGACAAAGGTTTAGAAAAGAGGCTGTCTCTGAGTGCCGATCCCTTTCTTGGAATCCGAGTGACGCCCCTTTCAGTGACAAGTGTCCTTCCTGAATGCCCAGGGTCCTTTTGTCGAGACAAAGGCACAGTCACTCCACTGGTTAATGTGATTTCCTCTTGTTGGCTCTCAGGCAGCGGCTGGCCTCCACCTGACGACCGAGGGGTGAATCTTGCTTTATCGCTCCGGCAACTCCCAGCATCATAATTGGGGTGACCCTGTCCTCGAGACCCAAGGGGCTCAGAGCTGCAGAAATTAGAGCACATTCTATGGATGGCAGCCTGGCTGTCAGGGTGGGTTGGCTCTTGGCCTATAATTCAGAGTGACACTCGGGCACTTGTCACAGCAGGGAGCCGGGTACCCKTGCTGTCAGAGCCATGCTGGGCCCCGTTGAGCACAGGGTGGAGGGGTTAAAAGAGGCTGCTCTGCCACCTTCACGTGGGGCCCATGTTTGTTGTGTTCTTTGAATGAACGACCTTGCCCCTCACTGCCCTCACCGGGGGTAGCGCTTTGCACAGAGGAAGGCAGGCCTTGGGAGCAGCAGGCTGAAGGGGGCTGGGTGGCCTTTGTGTTGGCAAAACAAAACCTGATTTTTGAGTCCCAATATCACTCCATCAAGGTTTATGGCATTCAGGCCTTTAGGAGAACRAAGAGGACCTGTCTAAAATGCCTGCGCCCGTGTTCTGGAAAGGACTGCACACTGTTTACCCCAAGGCTGGTGTCAATCAATACATGCCACACACACGGTACGGAAAGACAGTGACGTTCTCAGACAAATCTCTTGCTTCTCCTCTTACCTAATGAAATTGTGAAAAAGAGCGCGCGCGCACACACACACACACACACACCACACCACCCCACACACCACCCTTCTCCCTGCTCTGGGGAAAGCACGGCTGAGCTACACCAGGCTGGTTCCTTCTGTCTCTGTTCTCCACAGAGGCTTGTTCGGACGGTGCTCCTGTCCCACACCAGTCCACCTCTGGTGTCACCTTCCTGCGATCTGGCCTCAATCTCTGCTTTTGTCTTTGTTCTGAGCTTCCTCTTAGAGCTGTAGGTGGCTCTCAGGTTCAGCTGGTGACTGCTGCTGCCACCACTCCCATGAGCAAACGCTGCAGCCTCCTGGAGGCTCTGGCCTTCAAGGAGGGGTCTGCTCTCCCGACGTGCCTTCCCCATGGTACCGCCACACAATCATGCCACTGTGGAGAAGGAAAAGGCATTTACAGGCCTTTGGGAAGGACAAGGGACTTCTTTTTTGTTTTCCTTGAAAAKCTGGGGGTTGAACCCAGAGCCTGGCAMACCCTAGGCAAACACTCCACCCCTGAGCCCCAGCYCTTTATTTTATTCTGGGATGGGTCTTGCCAARGTTCCCAGGCTGCCCTTGAATTTTGGATCCCCCTGCCTCCACCTCCCAAGTGGCTGGGGTTTCAGGCAGGAGCCAGTGTCATTCCTTGATGGGGTTTGTGCTGTAAGTTCCTGCAGTGGGCAGAACCGGGCACTGGACCACAGAACAGGACAACCTGTTCTGTGGAACACAGTCAGACGTCTCCAGCAGACCCAGAGCAGGCGTCCCGTTGAGCCACTCGCAGCCAGCAGCATGGCAGCTGCATTAGCCTCAGAATACAGAAACACAGCCATATGATACACCAGGAGTCAGCTGTGGGCCAAATTTGGAGCACAGAACTGTGGGGCTGAAGGAAGCAGGAGGTCTCGGCTGAGCATTTGGGAAGGGTTGCTTCATAGGCTCTTGGCTGAGGTTTGGGGCATTTGAAGTTTGGCTGCTTGCAAGAAGCTACAATTCTGATAYCCTCTGGGCATGTGACACTGGGGCCAACAGAGGCTAGAGAGGAGAAATGACACCTCCAAATTCACACCACCAGTCGTGACAGAACAAGGCTAAAACCCAGGTTTCTTCCAACACCTGGCCCAGGAGTCTTTCCCCCACCCCCTTTTTTTTGGGGGGAGCACCGGGGATTGAACTTGGGGTCACTCAAACWCTGAGCCACACCCCCAGCCCTATTTTGTATTTTATTTAGAGACAGGGTCTCACTGAGTTGCTTAGCACCTTGCCGTTGCTGAGACTGGCTTTGAACTCGAGATCCTCCTGCTTCCAGCATCCTGAGCCGCTGGGATTACAGGCGTGCGCCACCATGCCCGGCCCAGGAGTCTTTTGGCCGTCCTGAAACAGAATGGTGGAGTGGGGAAGGCAGCACGGCCCCGCGGACTCTGCATTGCTAACCACCTCTCAAGAGCTGCTGCTGCGGCAGCTGCTGGGCCTGGGACCMCACTTTGAGAAAGATGCAAGCCGTCAGCTTCACCTGCAAGGAGGCCCAGTGACCTTGGTGCAAAGYTGGATTCCTGATTCCACTTGGTCCACTGCTGTTCTGTGTATCTTTACCTAGATATCTAAAAGCAGTTGACCTAGACCCTCAGCAAGGAAATTATCTGTCACCCTTTGTCAACTCCTTGCTATCCAGATCCCAGGTGCTCTCTGGCATGCAGGAGGCTGGAGCACAACTGAAATGTGTATTTCAGATACTAAGAGGGTGTGTTCATGGCTGTGAGGAGGGCGAACATGAGGAATGATCTTTGGTTGTGAAGGGGGACATTGTGTTACTTGTCTGGGCTGCAGCCAGGCTACCTCTAGTATAGAGTTGGTCCTCAGAATTTGTGACAAGGGGACAATTTGTATCATTTCTCTCTTTCAAAATAAGAGGCCCTCGGTGGCAAGATTATCTGGGCACTGCCTTTTCCACCTTGCTCACCGATCTAGAGTCAAATCTCCCAAAGTTTCAGAGCCCAGATTGAGAAAAGAGCAGATAATACCTCTGAAAGATTGACAGCATAAGTAGGGAACCCCACATGCATACACCCCAAATCCTCTTCTATCTTCACCATTTCTCAGACTTTAATTCAGAATTGTTCTTTTAATTTATTTTTTTTTWAAAAAGCGCAAATTGACTGTAAGATTGATGATCTGGGTTATAAATTCTGCAAATTTCTGACCTGGCAGGGGTAAGGAGAAGGGCTGGGAAGGATAATAACAGTAAGAAACTCTTGCTAGAAGCTTGTCCTGGCCCATTTTCTGATGCTTTAACAAAATACCAGAGACTAGGTAATTGATAAAGAAATGAGGTTTATTTTGGCTCATGATTCTGGAGGTAGGAAAAGTCCAAGAGGATGGCACTGGTGTTTTCTCAGCTTCTGGTGAGGGCGTCTGTGTCACTGCATGGTAGATAAGCAGAAGAGACAAAATACAGGGCTCAGACTTGCTTTATAACAGCCTGTTCCCGAGGTAAGGAGTCTGGTCCCACAGGGAAGGAAGGCACAACCTTAAAGGCTCCACCTCCCAACGCTGCCACAGTCGCAGTCAGATTCCAACATGAGATTCAGAGGGAAAAAACCATATTCAGATCAGAGTGAAGCTGATCAGAGGTGACACCTGCTAAACTCTAAGTCGCTTACACACTTAGAAAGCACAGCAGCCCGAGGCCCAGGAGTATCGGGACCCTGACTCCTTCGGTCCTGGGGACCAAGCTGTTGGACAGCCCGGGTGTCTCTGTGACGTCACATTCTATTCAGCATTTTGCGAATTTTGCTTCAGAGTATTTTGTCTTTTAAATGGCTGAAATATTTTTGTTCTGTTTAAGATTGGACATTGAGAGATATAATATCTTTATCTCAAAAACTTCTCTGTACATGAGAAAAACGAGGCCTTTATGGATGATCCTAGCCATGACACCKCACTGTCCTCAACTGCCTCTTCCTGAATCCTTCCCGGGTGCGTTGCCTCTCGTTTTCCTCTTCTTCCAGCGTCTTCATGGTCGTATTCTGCACAGTTCGAGCCTCGCCTTACTTTTTCCTTACTTTGACTGATTCTCCACTCAACCCCAATGATTCCAAAACCTCGTGTGTCCAACTCCCAGCTTCCYATGAAACGTTTGTCYTGACGTCCTCCTGCCTCGACTTCCMTATACCCAAAAACAAATCTTCCATTTTCTTCTGGAACCTACATCCTTTTCTGCATTCCCTACTTCCGCGGGTGGTCACACCAGCCCCCAGCCCTATCTTCTCATTTCCGGCTCTTTCTGTTCTCTTCTGCCACAGAGCAGACCGTTCAGGAAAGTTTTCTGAGTTCCTATCAGATCCCAGGGATCTGGATCTGTTTGGATCCCTCATTTTGTCCAGGGGGACAGAACACACTGACTTGTCTGAACTGGTCATGTCCTTGCCCTATTGGTGGGTCAGAACCCCCCAGCCATATCGCATGGGTCCACATGGGGGAGATTCTATCATCAAATGAAAGGGTGATGGATATCAGACAGGCCACCGATTTCACAACTGGATTCTGTTGGCTCTTTCTCACCCTTTTCTTCTGTCAGTAATTGACCATGTGCTTGGCAAAGTATCCAATCAGGTGCTCGACAGCATTTGGTGTGTTAATGATGAGGAGTGAACCAATGGGGGGGGAGAGGGGCGGGGAGCCAGTGGTTGAAAGATGGAAATCTTTCCACCCAGCTTCAGGGAAGGCAAGATGGGGGAACCAGGCCCCAGATCTCAGGGGACTCACACCCCTGCTCAGCAGAAGCCGATGACTGTCTGTGGTCCAATGTCCCCTTGAGGATGGTCCAGCCCTCAAGGGCAGTGTTTGGCCAAGCGCACCTGTGCAGCCCCTCCCAGCCCCTGGCACAAAGTTGAGTGCCAGGCAGGCCTGGCTGGTGGGCTGCGTGCGAGTCAGACAGCAGCTCTGTTCATCCCCTTTTTAGCCAGACAGTAGGAGCTGGTCAGTAACAGTTAATACTTCTGGGTGACTGAGGTCGCAGCTCTCCTGGGTTCCTGGTTTCAGGAATAGCACACCCACCCTTCTTACTCAAGCCATTTACAATTGAAGACACATCAGACTTGTAAAAAATTAAAGCCACAACCAAACACACACACACACACACACACACACACACACACACACACCAAAGGAAAAAGGTTCAAGCCAAAGGAGTGGTGCCTTCTTTTTGTGCAAAAGGATTTGTGGATTTTGGCCCCCCATCCAGAGCCTGGAAACATCTTCCAGAAGCTCCTGTTTCTGGCAGTGACCACGGTGGTCGGCTGCTGGAACTGACTCGCAAACTGAAGAATTCATCCTGGGAGGGGCTGGGGCACAGACTGCCTGGTATGACATWGTCCTACACCGTGGTCTTGGGAGGCAGCAGTAAGTCGTCGAAGGGCTCARGCAGGGAACCAGGGCGGTGGCAGCGTTTTCTTTTATTTTCCATCCCTGTCATCTCTTGTCTAAAACAGCCTCTCAGAGTTTGGCAATCATCTTTCTTCCTTGGTTGTTCCTTTCCTCATCCTTGCTTTAATTGCTTCTTTCTCTATGCATGTGTTTATTAAGGAACAAAAATGAGCTGGGCATTTAGAGGACTTATTTCAATCCCATTAGACCCGCCCGACTGGAAGATTGGATGCCCGGGGCGGCTTCTGCGGATGAGAGGGCGCAGTCCATGCAGGGATTAGCCCGTTGGCTGTCCCCAGGTCTGACGGGAGGCCCTCCTCCTGGGTCTCTGGCTCTCTCTGCTGGACTCTTGTTCATTTTCCGTGGAGCCTGTGAGTTCTGATGGAGGCGGCCTGCACTCAGTGTTGGGCTATTCAGGGAATTGCTGAGTCTCCTGCTTTCTGGACCTGACCTTTTCTGCAAAGCACGTGCTGTTCTTAGGGCTTGTCAGCATTTGGAAGGAGGCAGTCCCCTGGGAATCAGTGTCCCTCTTGATTCTCTCCCCAGGAAGGAGGCAGGGAAAAACCCCATCCTGTGGTGACAATTTCCCTCCTGAATCCTCACCTCGCCAAGATATAAGTTGTTAGGACCTGAGGAGTTGAACCTGGAAGATGGACTCAGAACAGCTGCCTGAGCTTTGCACCTTGGAGGAACCATGTCTAGTTACCACTCAGACAGTGCTCTCTTGGATGGATCTAGGCTCAGACAGTGCTCTCTTGGATGGATCTAGGCTCAGACAGTGCTCTCTTGGATGGATCTAGGCTCAGACAGTGCTCTCTTGGATGGATCTAGGCTCAGACAGTGCTCTCTTGGATGGATCTAGGCTCAGACAGTGCTCTCTTGGATGGATCTAGGCTCAGACAGTGCTCTCTTGGATGGATCTARGCTCAGACAATACYCTCTTGGATGGATCTAGGCTCAGACAGTRCYCTCTTAGATGGATCTAGGCTCAGACAGTGCTCTCTTGGATGGATCTAGGCTCAGATAATACTCTCTTGGATGGACCTAGGGTCAGACAGTACCCTGTTGGATGGATCTAGGGTCATTGTGACCTGGGGCAAGTCACTTTCAACTCTTGGTCTRTATTTCCTCATCTAAAAAATTAAGATTGCCTAAATCAGGGTAGGCTAACTCTGGAGCAAAGAATCCCAAATTGTAATGGCTTCATCCAAAATAGGAGCTTCTGTCTTTCTCAGTTTACAGTTTGGGGTGGCCCAATGGGAAAGAGCTGGGCTCCCTCCGAGAGCCCAACAGGGACCAAGGCTCTTTCCGTGGTGTCGTCCTTGAGGCAGGCAGGGAAAAGACARGGTGAAGAGGACACCCCTGCTCTAACCAGGCAGGCTTGGAAGGACCCAAGTCGCGTGTGCACCCCTTCTGTGCACACTGACAAGAACATGGCCCCTGGTGGAACCAAAGGACTCCATCAAGTTGTCCAGCTATGGTCCCCAAGRAAGAGGAGGACACGGACACGGGAGCTCCAGTCTTCTCTGCCTCAGAGATGAGATGCAGGGCCCCTCCCTGGGCWGCGTGCTAGGTGCAGTCACCCTCCAAGCCCCACGCCCTGCCCCCGGGAGGCTCAGACACAGCCATTTTTCTTCTCTTTCCCCCACTTGAGGTTTATGCAAATAACAGGCCAAGGCAAGAAATTAAATGTATGTCCCTCACCTCTGAAGTTCCTTATTTCCGTGTTCCTCATAGTGTAACATTTCATTAGACCTTCCAGATGGGGAAAGAACAAGCAGATTAAAAGTCAGATAGTGCCTAGAAGCCTGCTTCATTGGTTTCGGGGACGGCTGGAGCTTCAAAGCTATTTGGTATTTCCACTGCCGAAAGGCTCCTCGGGAGCAGTTGTGTTTTAATAAATGGCTGCTTGAGTAATTTTCCTCGAAGGAATTGCATTGCGGATATGTGCGCTCCTGGGTGGGGGGCAGTCCCTCCTGGCGCTCCTGGTGCTGATACGTTGCAGATTGGATGCTTGGGGCYGCAGGAGCCTGTCGAGTCTGCCCACCCTGTGCTGGTGGGGTGGGCTCGGCTCTGGGCCCCTCTAGACTCTCCGGGACTCTGTGGAGGTGCTGGACAGGGAGAGTGGGAGCCTGGCCACACCACATGTGGGTCTTGACCACGTTCAGAAGGAGCTGATTTGCCCAACCAGCCCCACCTAACCCTCCCTGAGAGCCACMGGCAAAAGGAACCACTTGAAAACCCAGGGAGAATTCATTCTGAACTATTGCTGCCCCCACCACAAGTGGGCAGCCTGGTGGGCATGGCAGGTAGCAGGGCAACAGAAGGCCAGTCCAGCATTCTCCCCCTGTGTGAGTGAAGCTGGGCTCGGGAACTACGCTGCRGTGGGTCTCGGTGTTCATTCACTCACTCGGTCTGTGCTGAGCTCCCCAAGAGGTCAAGGACTGTCTGAGCTGAGACACAGCAGAGAGCAGAAGCAGCAGAGATGGTGGTGGCAGGMGAGAGCGGGACTCGAGAGCCACGTGGCCCGGACCCAAATTCTGTCTCTACCACTTTCTAGCTGGGTGACTTTGGGCAAGTTGCTTGACCTTTCTGTGCCTCAGTTTCACCATCTGGAAAATAGAGATCGTCACCATAAGAGCTGCCTCMTAGAGTCATCATGCAGATTAAATGAATGTCAGGGTTCATAGGATGGCCCAGCACCATGGCAAGAAAAGGGAGGGTGTCTTCTCTGATCACAGCGGAATCCACCAGGCGCCTTCTTTAAGGCCAGGAAGTCCTGGCACAGCACAGTGGGGAGGCCTGGCATGCTGCTCCTGGGCATGGGTCACTTCCTGTGTGACCAGAGAAAAGAATCCAGGCTGGTCCCCTCCTGTGACAGGAGGAACACTGAGCTCCTTTTATCCTAGCCCAGAAGGACCTCCAATGGTACCAGGCTGGCATCTGACACCAGAGTCCCCCCAGCCTCAGGMAGGGGACATGGCTTTATCTGGTCTCCCCTCCTCCCTCCCACCCGAGGTCAGATCTCTGCAGCACTCTTTGTGGAACCCCAGACAGTGGGATCAGTCCTGCTGTGGGCCCGCCACGGGGCCCGCCCTCTGTAAATGGACGGCTTGTGCCTGCAGACTGGGCTGGGCTGAGCCAGAACAGATGGTCATCTCCCCCGCTCTCCCAGGGGCTGCTGGGGCCGAGACCTGGCCTATTCACCGCTCTCATTCGGAGGCCCTGACCTGTCCTCCCAGTCCTCCAGAGGGCTCCCTCCCCTGTTCCCTGGGGAGAACCCTGGGGCTGAACTCTGTGTAGCCAGGACCGCACAAGTGTCTGTGGGAAGCGGATGTGACTGACGGCTGTGAGTAGGACTTCCACCCAGGAAACCGTGGGGTTGGCTAGTGCTGTGTTTTCCGAGCTTGGTATGTGATCAGGCACACAGGAGCCTGCAGGATGAGGGCTGGAAGGGATGGGGGCCTRGGGACACCAGGAAGGCTTCTTGGAGGAGGATCCACTCACTTACAGCAGAAGGTCAAATGCCATGTTCTTGTTGCCCAAGAGTCTCGGATGAGGCCTTAAAGAAGCTGCCAGCCTGTGGGGTTGAAGATAAAAATGACATAATGACATAATGTCAAGAGAGTGTGCCGATTGCTGAGCTGGCGGGTACCACAGAGTTCAGAGGAGGGTTCGGCCCAGCTCAGGGATCCTGAAAGACACACACAAACACACACACACACACACACACACACACACACACACCTCCCTCTTCTCCCCTAAACCATTTCTCCTTCTGGGCACCTGATAGGGTCTCTCTTCCCTATATGTTCAAAGTTAGGTGTCGCCACAGGACACACTTTCACCAGTGACATGAGGGCAGAAGGGATGGGCACCCATTCCAAGGGAAATCCTTAGGAATCAGTGTGTGAGCCCCTAAGCCTAGTTTCCCTTTCCACAGTGGCCAGCAGTGCCCGGGGGTGACCACGCCGGCAGCTGGGGTCTTGAAGAGAGAATGCCCAGGAGCAGGACTGCCTTTGACCAGCAGTGCACAAACAGCAAGAACGAAAGCAATGTCATTGCCGAAGCCACTGAGACCCAGGGGCTAGTTCATCAAGGTAGCACCACCCACCCGTCTAGGCTGAGGCAACCATGATGGGGTCAAGTGTCCAAAATAGAAAACTGGCCCTGCTGGAATCTCTGAGCCATTGGCCCTTGTTTGTTGGGGCCCCCAGCCCCAGGAATGGAGATCTAGGCTCTGGCTCACCTCCGCTCTGGCGCTCACYGGCTGGGTTGTCCCTGCGGTGGAAGGGGTAGCTGATGACTGCCCAGCCTGCCTCCCGGGCTGCCCTGAGGGTCCCGCAGGCGGGGAGAGGGAAGTCTCCCAAAACCCAGAAACTGGGGAGCAGCCTGCTTCCCTCAGCTTCCCTGTCTTGGGCCCTGGGGGTCATGGCAAAGGTCCCCCTTGTTCAGAGCCAGGTGGAGGCAGGACAGTCCGGGAAGGGAGGACCCAAGGAAACGGTGCTGATTCCTGCTGGTGTGCCTGGGGCCCGCGGTCCCAGGCTGCTYGTCAGGGGTGGAAGTGGCAGCCTGGAAGCAAAGTATCCCTGCTTGGTTAATCTAAAAATAAACAGAAAGGCAACAAAAATCTATGTTTCAATTACTGCACACAAGCTGTTCAAACAGCCAGCTCTGCACTGGAGATGTGAACTTGTCAACAGAGGCTGCCTCGTTTGCATGCTTGGGTGGTGACAAAGCACGCAGCCTCGCAACAGGCTGCCCTCTGGTCTGGGCTGCCTTTTTTTTTTTTTTTTAATTAAATTAAAAACACGGACATGGAATCAAGACAATGAAAATGTGAAGCAAGTACATCAAGATAGACACAAAGACAAAGAAGCCCCTGTGGTCTCGAGACAGCCTGGCACTGGGTACTGAGGTCAGCAAGAGTGTGGGCAAAACAAGAGGCTCATGGCCAAGACAGGGGACAAAAGTCTGTCTCCCAAGTGGCCCAAAGCACTCTTCCCCTGGGACTCACTGCTCCTCCTAGAGGAAGCCTCTACAAGCAGTGTGGGTCTTTGGTTCCCAAAGCCAAAATGACAGTTTGGGAGGGGTGGGGACGCTCCCTCTGTGGAAGGGAGATGTCTCTGCACGCTGCATGCCTGGCCCCAGAGCTGGGACTTCCCTCCCTCTGCATTTCCTCTCACTAAACACAATCTCCTCTCTAAAATTAATGCAGCCTCAGGAAACTGCACAGCCTTAGGGCTCCAGAGCCACCCTGACCCTCCCTGCCTACTCCAGCCACACTGGCTGCTCCCTCCCCAGCAGCTCCATGTTCCTCGTACCCTATATTGATCCCTGTGCACTGTCCTCCTGAGCAGCTGGGTCCCCGAAGGCAGGAACCAGCCGTGCCCTGTTCGTACTTGCCCCTCAGTGTCTAGCACTGAGCTGGGTCACAGTGGGGAAGGACGTAGTCATTGCACTTGCTGTGATTTAGCAAACGTGAATTAACTCAAGGGCATGCCTAAGGATTTGCGTGGGTGGGAAAGGCGGGTGTGAATTCCCCACGCAAGGAGGTAGGGTCTCAGAGGAGGAAGTCAGAAGTTGTGATTTCCCAGGCAGAGATTTGGATCAGCAAGAAGCCCCCCCAGGTCTCACCAGAGAGCAGACGAAAGCTGGATGCTAGCACTTAATGCGGGCGATGGTTCCACAAATCCTGCGTGCTGAAGTGGCTGTCGGTTCCGCATTTGCTCTGGACAGGGATTTTAATGTCCCCAGCCCTGCGAGCAATTCTGCAGCCATCAGCCCAGACGCTAGTTACTTGGTGAAATAAAAGAGCGGTCGAGTCTCTCCCAAGGAAGATAATATCCTGTCACAGGCAGTATGATCTGCCGGCCATGTGACGGCCGTTCCCTAATGTTTCCAAATAGACTTTTGAATAGACTCTTGTCTAGAAGAAAGCAAATTGCAAGAGCATTTTGGCAGCCAAATAGAGAGCACGCATCAGTCTTTCTTCTTTGCAGCTCTTGCTGCTGGGTCTGGCTCCAGGCACCGGGTAGGATTCATTCATCAGCTTGGGTCACTGACGAACACCATTTCCTGTGAAGCGGGAGCTCGTTGAATTAGTCAATTCTGCAAGATTCAGAATAATCAGGCATGTCTGCGAGGCAGCCCCGAGCCACTGGGAGGCCCACTTGGAGGAGGGAAGTAACTGCAAAATTCAGCTCCAAAGACTTTGATCCAGGGTTTGCAGGACTGTCGGGACACAGGGCTCCAATTTCAGGGTCTCCATCCTCCRTGGAGCCACAAGAACAAGGAATCGGAAGGAGCCAACCATGGTTATTCATAATGATAACTCTGGCTAATTCTCATCTAAATGATCAAACCCTACCCGGCGTAACTCCCTCATCGATCCTGTTGTTTACAAGTCCCTAATTTATACACGCCTCCCCTCTTCCCTCAGTTTATGCTGATATTATGTTGCCAACTGTCATTTCCAATATCTTTTTTATTTTTCATTATCACCATTATAATGATTTACACCAGGAGCAATAGCACAAATGCCTAGTCAATTAGTCCCGTGAGAAAAGTCTCTGAATCGTGTGCTTTTTTGAAAAAAAAAAAAAATCACTACATCGAAACCCACAGCCAGAAAGTCTCAAAGCAAAGGTGCTCATGGGAAGGAGGGATCTGGGAGCCTTGTTCTTTTAATATTGCTCATCTCAAACAGGTATCGGATACCACCTTTGTGAAGCAGGGAGATTGCTTTTTGTGAGAGAAATTGGGCCCAGAAAAGGAATCGGTGACATCTTTCCTGCAACCTATCATCAGAAAAGCATTTTGAACATTTGTCATTTTAGGTCATGTATTAAGCCCTGTAATTATAGAATATGAGTTTTCCAAAAAAATACCCTGACCCCCAGGGCCATCCAACATATTGGAATGCCTGATTCTGGGTGGACCCCCGACCGCATCTCAGACTGTGTTCAAACGACAACCTGTTAAAAATGCAGATTCTGACTTGAGGGTGCTGGGGTGAGGCCTGAGATCTGCATTGATAACAAGCACCCAGGTAGTAGGAACTGCTGGCCCACCCACCACAAATTGAGGACGCAGGACTAGATCATTGTCCCCGTCCCTGAGCTTCCTTTTGTCCCTCCTCCTTACTTACAAAATTCCATGTTTCCCTGCCTACACCATTGGGATGCTGTCAAGCAAACGTGTGGTGGCTTCGAAAGACACCCATGTGGATGAGCACTTCCCGTGGGCGCTCGCCTCTGAGCACGTGGAGAAGCGCATATGGCAAATGCCCAGTGGTTATCTTGGTCCTGTCTTGGGGTAGATCCCCAGAAGTTGATTCTTTTACGTAACTGAAACTTTGTAGCCTTTTTCCATCCCTCCCTATTTAAGTGTTCTTACTGTAAAAGGAAAAAAAAAAAAAAAGAAGGCAGAGGGAATTTTTGAATGTGACAGGTATGTTGGTGGCCTGGATAGCGATGGGTGGATGGTTTTGAGCATGCACATTGATCTCTGAACACATCAAGTTGTGTACATTAAGTATCTACTGCTCTTTGTGTGCCAATCAAACCTCAATAAAGCAGCTAAAATAAATAAATTAATAAGAACCGTGTGGAGGAGAAGAGCTATGGCCCCCTAAGGCCAGACAGCTGTCATAAATCACCACTGCTGGACGTGTGACACAGGGGCTCCCTTCGCACTCCCTGGGGGCCAGTCTATTGAGTGAGATCTCGGTTTGCTGGGTTATTTCCCTCCAAGTCCAAGGACAGACTCAGGCCGGGCAACTCTGCAGTTAGCTGGCATTGGAGAAAGAAAGCTCCCTGTCTTTTTCAAGCAATGAAGATGACACCCTAAAGCCTCTGTTACAAAACCTTGGGTCACCTCCCTTGGGTCCCGGGGTGGAAGCAGAGGTCAGAGGGATGGCTCGGGTTCCTCACTGCATCTGTGACATCCCTGGCTCCCCTCTTCTCCCAGCCTGGGGAAGGCTGCTTGGCTGGTTCCACACCCTGGAGCCTGTAGCAGGTCTTGACGGAAACTTCTGGCTACTAAGCCAAGGGCTGGGCTGAGCCACTCCAGCCTGGCACCCAGATTGGACAGTTTCCCACTGGCCTTGATGGTGGGGTGGTCCTGATGATGATGACGGGGGAGAGTCACACAAGGTCCCTTGTGGCTGGACAGGGTGATATGGAGGCAGAGGGCCCTTTCAGAGCAGCGCTCTGCCCCCCTAAGGCCAGACAGGTGTCATAAATCACCACTGCTGGACGAGTGACACAGGGGCTCCCTCCCCACTCCCTGGGGACCAGTCCACTGAGTGAGATCTCAGTTTGCTGGGTTATTTCCCTTGATATGTTAAGGAAGGGAACTAAAGATAGCCACCCCACAGGTTACTCACCCCAGCAGAGGGACAGGTGAGCTGGCACTAGCCTGTGGTACCCCAGAGCTTCCTTGGCTTCTGCTGCCACCAAAGGATTTAAACATGGGGCCTAGCCAAAGCAGGCATCTGTGTGTGACCCACACATTTCACATCCACTTGGAGGCCTCCCCCTGCCTGGAGAATAGCTCACTCGTTCTTAGGGCAGTGTGTAGGGCCAGGACTCCCAGGCAGGTATATCAGAATTCAGGAGTGGCTCCTGTCAGGGCTGTGCGAGTGCAGGTGGGCCCCAAGGACAAGCCTTTCCTAAATCTTGACACCATACTCCTCACGCACTTCAGCCTCATCCCGCCATGCCACTCGCTCTGTGCCGCAAAGGGCTAGTCCCCTTGGTCTGGCCAGCCCTGTGCTCTGTCTGCTGCAGTGGAGGAAGCAGAGGGAGAGAGCTGACCCTGACATTAGGAGCAGAGTCCAGTCTTACATGGGAAGTGGAATATGCCAGTCCATCGCTGAGACTGGCTTCTGGCGCAGGGAAGAGAGGGTCGGTCAGAGAAGGCCTCCCGTGAAGAGGCCAGGTGGAGCCCACCTCAGCCTCAGCGGGAGGGAGTCTTCTGAGTTACTGGGGGCTCTGCAGGGATGAGGGTCAGGGAGGGCTAACCAGCCCCTGAAAGCAAGGGGCATCCCCCAGGGGCATCCCCAGCTCCCACCGACAGCCACAGCAGGCCGGCTTCTCCAGAGGCACGCCGAGAGTTCCTTTGTGTTGCATTTGCCAAGATGGTGTTCTGGCCTCTGCGTAATGTTTTGTTCCAGAAGAAAAGCTAAAAGATGCAGAGAGGGAAACGAAAATAATAAAGATGGGCACAGGCTGTTCCAATTGACTTGGCAGCACGTCTCCCCCAAATGAGGCAATCATCCATTTTCCAGCCAGGCCCGGACTCCGCGGCTCATTCCTCAGCCAGCCTCCTCGGCTCCCCTGTCTGGAGGCAGCGCGGGCTCCCCTGCCTTCCTGTGGATTAATCACGCCTTCGGGGCCTCACAGCCGGCAGCCCACTCCTTCGGCATGTCTTAATGATAAGAACGAGGAAAGGGTCATTAGCCACCTGTGATCCTGTGTGCAGCGCATACACATGGCGCATGTTAATACGCATGGGCATCGCCCGCATCCCCAACACACAGCACGTCGCTGGACCCAGACCACAGTCACTCTGCTCACACGTTCAGGTGGACACAGCAGCCTGTTCGTGGGCAGGGCCTCTCAGGGCCAGTGCCCTGGACTCCTGGACACTGTCCCCGGGCTCCAGCCCCACATGGACGACACAAACACTCTGTGATTCATAATTATTTATTGATGAATTATTCATGTTGAAGGTTTTCCAGGCAAATCTGTAAAGCAGGGCTGCTGATGGGGTGTCTAGCAAGTGTCCAGGAGACAGAGCCCTGCGGCCAGCTGGTAAGACATCAGAGATGTTGCTGGGTGCTGGGGCTGAGCCTGGAAGTCAGCTGATTACCCTCGCGTGGCTGTCCTCAGGCCCGGGGAGCCCAGACCTTCCCCAGACCTGAGCCGGGGCCATGGTGATGTCCCTGAGCTGCTGGATGAGGCCCATCCGTCAAGGCTGGCTCCGGGGTTAATGACACGAGGTCCCATGTCATGGATATTTAGCTGGGGCTGACCTTCCTCCTGCTATCTGGCGTCTCCTAGTGACTCGGTGAAACCATCCGACGAGGTCTCTGGCTGCCTAGCACAGGGGCTCTCAGTAGCTCTGTGTGTGCCTGCAGATACCAGACAGAATCATGCCTCCTGGTCGACAGTCCCCTGGATGCTCATTGTGGGAGGGCCCATTCCTGCTGGCCTTGGGACTGCCGCCTGTCCTTTTCGCCTGAGCGGGAGGATAGGACCATTAGCCAATGACAGCTCTTCAGCCCGGGCAGAGGGTTCACAGCAGGCATTGCTTGATCCCAACAGTGATCCCGGGGTAAGACAGTGTTGTGGATCCCATTTTCCAGATGAAGTAGAGCAACAGGGACATCAGGGGTTAGGGATAGACCGTGGGTGAAATCTTGGGAAGGCTAGAGGTCAGGGACCAAGGCTACTTTGTCTTCTCCATTTGATTCTCCTTAATGAGCTGTTTCCTCCAAGAGAATAGAAGAGTGTCTAGGGACAGGTGGCCCTTCCTTCCTTCCTGCACATCCCAGGTACTGGCTTCTAGTGTTGCTGGCCACAGGGACAGCTTGGCTCTCCCTGCCAACAGAAGGGAAGCCACTGGCTTTCATCCGCTCCTGGTGAATGGAGTGCACCGCTCCTCAGGAGGGGAGGAAGCAGCAAGAACAGGCCCTTCACCCTCCCCAGAGGCCAGCATTGGAAGTGGAAAAGACCCTTCCCACAGGGGACTGGGATGCTAATAGATTCACCCACATAGTGGCCTCTGGGACACTTCTGAGAGATGACCTGAATTTTCAGGTAGTTGGGC